AGAGGTATCAAACAGTCCAAGTCATACACGGATAAGACAGTCAGTCATCAATGTCTTTCAGATAATCCAAATAACATAGTCCAGTAACATATAATCAGTCTGGTACTCAAAGTTTGCTAGCAATTGCAAAATTTACAATAGCTCACGGCACTTTCTAACAGCCAGCTTCCAAAAACACTCAGATCAGATCAGCCCAGCATCTAACAAACAGAGAAAGAACTAACAGTCGTTCTGGCTCCCTCTTATGGCCGATTGAGGAAAACGGCAACCAATCACATTTGACAGTATGATTTAAAGAAACAGGTACAGCATTGCTATATGATTTACATATTGCCAACCCAACCTTTAGAATTATATTCCTAACAGTTGGGACCTGCAACTCCATCATTAAGTGAAGTGGTTGCTAAGGGCGATTGTGCTTACGGTCGTAATTCAACATCCCTTTGCTTTACAGGCCTGCAAAGGTCACACATACAACGATGGGTCAGTGGTAAAATTCAATTTTCATCATCATTGCAATTACGAACAGTTGGAGTGGTGCAGTGGCCTAGACATGGAGCTCACTGCCCTCACAATCAGGAGGCTGTGAGTTCAATCCTAGGTATAGGCAGTTATGTCTCTCTTTGGACACAATTGAGAATATATCTGCTGAACAAAACTCCGCATTGGCAACAGGAACGGCATCTGGCCAGTAAACACTCACTAGCTCCATTCAGTTGCCCAGACTCTACCCCGCAAGGGATTATGGGGTCGTTAAGAAGAAGATGATGATGATTATAAGCATGAACCATTATTACATTGGACAATTGCTAAATGAGGACTATCTGCACTTGAATTTTATTTCCATTATCCCACGTGGTGCATAATGCTGGTAGGAAGGTCTTATCAGGTGATGACTTGATTATCATTAAATCATCGCCATACACATTTGTTACAAATGTTTTATCCATAAATTATTTTAGAAATGTACTATTCAAGTAGTCCTTGACTTTACAACAATTCATTTAAGTGATTGTTTAAAGTTACAATGGAACTGAAAAAAGTGACATGGGACAATTTTTCACACTTACAAGTGTGGCAGCAACCCCAAGGTCACGTGCTCAAAAATTCGGAGGCTTGGCAACTAGCATGTACTTATGCCGGTTGCAGAGTTCCGAGGTCTTGGAATCACCTTCTGACAAGCAAAATCAATGGGGAAGTTAGATTCACTTAATAACTGTGTTATTGACTCAATAACTGCAATGATTCACTTAACAATTGTGGCAAGAAAGGTTGTAAAATGGAGCAAAATTCACTTTAACAACTGTCTTGCTTAGCAATAAAAAAAATTGGGCCCAATTAAAGTTGTAAGTCAAGGACTACCTCCATATAAATTGTACTAAATATGTTGATAGATATCCTCTTCTTCCTGTGGCACAGGACATGTGGTTTGCAAAGGCGGCCTTTTCAGAACTTGATTTTACTCCAAATTTCATTTTGCTTCTCTCCCATCTCTAGAAGCTGCAACCTACCAGGATATCCTGAACAGCCAAATTTACCTAATTGTCTCACCATTTTTCCTCTTGCACAGATAAAGAAAAAATAAACCTTGGCAGGGAAGACTTAGTGCTTAGTGCTGAAGATGGTAATTATTTTATACATGGTTGCATGAACCTAATGTTCTACTTTAGTAAAATGTATGCATTAAGTAGTGGGTCTTCTGTGACAGCTAATAGCTAGCCTTAATATCAGTTAAG